AATTGTTGTTTGTTTTATTCGTCACACGCTGTGTGTGTACTTTTTATCAGGTGTAGTTACAGATACTTGTGAAAACAAATCTTGCTCGCAAAAAACAACTCTGGGTGGGCGTCGATAAAGAACTTTTCACATTTACGTCATGAACATTGGTTTTCGCCCGGAATCATAACAAGTTTGTCAAAAAATATCCCAACTATCTTGATATCTTCCTGATCTGGTAAAACGGAATGCGTTTTCAAATGTTCTAAAATGTATTTGTTTTAATGTTGTTGGTGGCAACCATTGACGCACACAAGATTACATGTATTTTAAAGAGGAGAGACGAGCATTGAAATCTCCAGGTTCTTCGATATAACCTGTACACCAACTCAGTTAAGACAGAAAAATGGCGGTGGGTTTATGAGCGGATAAAACCTAATAGTGCAAGAATTATATGAAATAGGTTTCGACGACTCCAGTTACAGTATACGGTTGCTTAGCAACAGCAAGCGCACGAAGGTGGTGGGTCGACATTGATATACGTCCGACCAGCAATAGTATATTTACTGTACCAGCTTCAGTTGTGTACCGAACATCTTCATTTTTCATTGTACACATCCAGGCGGCCTTTTAGTTTTGAAATGTTCGTTATAAAATATTATGTGAAAAAACGTATTGTTCATTCACACACACACACAATGAATTTGAATCCAGATTAATATAATTTGTAACATATTCGTGCGTACACTGTAATATACTCCAACAAATAGCAACTAAAAGATTCACGTCAGCGGCGTGAATCTTCGTGTAATTGGTTGGTATTTTCTATCATGTGTGTAAACTTGTACCACGGTTTGAATTGGCCAATGGTTTTCCAGAATGTTCATTCTTATATGTCGTAACCTGGTTACGGCCCGGCGGCAGTTGGCCATTCAAGGGATGTGCATTCTGAATCTCGCGGAGTGTAAAGGATACCTTTTTAAAGTTGAAAACAGAAAAAAAATGTAGTTTTTAAAAGACTGGTACAAGTTATTCCACAATCGTACAATTCAGATTATATTTAAGGTTGAACCATTGTTTCTGCCGGGAGCCCATGTTCGAACAGTATACATTTTCATAAAAGGATAAAAAGTCGCACTTTTTCCCCGGGATCTACCTTTGAGAAGGCATGCATGTGAATACCATGGTTCAGTTCAATCATACTTTGGCCAGAATGTTCGCTACAGTGTGCCTGAGGTCGAGCGTCCTCGCCTCCACCTAGCTATACCAGCCAAGTGCCCTTCCCAGGGGTTGTCGCGTAGTCTGTGAGATCAGAGTACCGATATCTTCGAATATTCGACAATATGACTACATATTAAGCTACTCGTATTCACGGCGGGCATTTGATGTTACGAAACTGCCTAATTCACAACAGTAGTGGTCACATGATGATTGTATGACGCAACTATCGCGTAACGATGATCTAACTTGTACTTACAAGATTTCTCATATAAGATGGTCATAGTATTTCCTTCATATATATATATATATATATATATATATATATATATAGTGCGCTTTCACGAGCACACAATAAAATAATTTCAATTACAATGTTTTTTATTTTTCGTGTAGGTATTGCCTGAATCTCATTCCATCGTGAAACGAGGTAAGACATTTGTAAGATGTATGTCTAAACAAGTAATACCTCAGCCTTTAAAGCAGATTACTTTAATGTAACGTCACGTGGTATCAAGCATTATATATGCAGCGTTAGTATATCTCATTGACGTCACAGACCGTGTAGATTTAAAAACATATTTGTCAGTTATGTTGGTATCATTCTTGGTTTATACTGTACAGTATTTCAAGTTCAACAAAAATGTGAATCAACTACATTCACGTGCTTGCACTTTCTATTTGTGGTGTGAAAAATGTACATGAATATTTCATTGAAGTTACGCAGTGTCAATTCAGAGGAGGAATATAATACATACGATTTCACCTTAGATTTCCGATTTATTTCAGACATTCAGTCTTACGGCCCAGTGAGCACACCATGTACAGCTTATAGTTTACACGTCGAACCCAAAACTTGGTTAGAAGCAGAACAAGTATGTCTATCATTGAGCACTACTGGAGAACTGGCACGTATCCCAACCAGCTCCATCAACGACAAACTACTGACACTTCTTTCGGATGCGTCAATAGAGAGCGCGTATTTCGGCGCCAGTGACGCAGAGACTGAGGGGGTATGGAAATATTCGGCCACAGACGTATGCTATGACGATTGGGGAAACAATCTACCTAGCTTCGATAATACTACAAACTGCATACTT